GGTTAAAGCCACCCCGTCTGCATGTTGCCCGTTATATATGAAAAAGACGTTGGTCCCGAAGAACCCGCGTATCCACCCTTACCTATCTAGGGTAGATAATCAGATACCATATTTACTCTCTCTCTCAACTCGACCTTCTTTTCTTTCGCCCGTTGGCTTTTAGGTCACGAAGATCCCTGGCTGGGCACCAGGCCTTGTCGACACAAGAAGCAACCGATTTCGAAATATTCACCCTCACGCAACACGCCATGACTTTCATTGACCCCGAAATCCGGGCTTCGTCCCCTCCAAGCCCAGAGCCGTTTGAGAAGCCGGCAGCTGCATCCCTGCCAGAGGAGCTGCCCGGCACAGTCTTCCTCATCTCTGCTGCTGGCAAAGTCCTCAAGCTTCCCATCCCTTCCGAGTCAACCCGTGATCCTCTCAACTGGACCCCGGCCCGACGCATCGTGGCCTTCAGCGCCCTGATGTTCTACACCGCTGTGTGTTTCTTTGAGAATAAGCTGCCGGCAGCGCTCATGGGAGCCTTCCATCATGAGTTTGATCCAGAGGTGAGTGTTTCATCTCCACAGCTTCTGGTGCCGGCCAGGCTAACAAGAAGCAGGACGGCGGCCACCGGAACGTTGAGTCTCTCAACACACTCGTGGTCATCGCAAACGGCTTCGGGTACCTTGTTTCTATTCCCCTCTCTGCGGCTGTCGGCCGTCGACCAATTCTCCTTGCTACCTGTCTTCTCACTTGTATCTCGACTATATCTGCTGGTCTTTCCGAAACTTATATCGGTCTGGCCATCTCGATCTTCTTCCAAGGTCTTGCTGTTGGACAGAACTTTGGTATTGTAAGTCATTGCCATTGACAGCACTTCCATATATACTCAGATGGCTGACTGTCGATATATCCAGGGCGTATTGTATATTTTGGACGCTACATTTGTCAACGAACGACCCTATGCCATGGCTCTCTACTGGTCAATCACTACCGGCTTGATCAGCATGCTTCTTATTCCTTTGCCATACATCACTGACACAGCCGTCAACTGGAAGCCAGTCTACAGGGTGTGGATCATTCCCTGCGTCGTATCTTTACTTGTCATTTACTTCTTTATCCCGGAAAGCTTTTTTCTTCGCCCCGCTGTTGCCATGGATGGTCGCATCCTCACACAGAGCTCCTCAGAAACCGTCCGCATCTACGACAACTGGGAGGATCTTGATGCAGAGGGCAGGGACCCCCACAGAGAGTTGGCCGACGAACCGAAGTCTTCGCTTCGCCGACAGTGTCTCAAGGTTACCAGAGCTATCGGCACGGAGTGGAAAGCCGCCGGCGCCATCTACATGCAAATGCTTCTTTGCTTCTGCAACCCGCTTGTCCTCTGGGTCAGTTTGTTAGGCGCTGCCGTTCTCTGCAATGTGGTCTTCCTCAACCTCACCCAGGTTGTCTTCCTCTCCAAGACTCTCGAGGGCGATGATTTGCGACTCATGAACACTTTCTTCGGCATTAGCGGTGGCATCTCGTCCGTGTTTGCCTACTTTGCCTCCGGCCCTCTCATTGCTCGCTGCACGCGCCTCTTCACAGTTCGCTCGGGCGGTACGCGTCAGGCCGAAGTCTACCTCATCGGCTTCATGATCCCCGTCGTCGCCGGCGCCACGAGTATCGGCCTCCACGCGGCTGCTATCACCAACGAGTGGCCCCCCGCGGCGCACTATATCAACTTTGGCCTCGCCAACTTCAGTTTCATCTGCGGCTTTGTCGCCACCATTATCTGGATCACGGAGGCTTTCCCTCCCTGGGCTTCTGCCTCTCTTTCTACTGAGCTCTTTACCCTCACCGTTTTGGCTTCCGTCCTCGCTCTTAACCTTGGCGAGTGGGCCAAGAGCGGCAACATACTCGGCCCCTGCGCCGTCCTCGTTGCCCTTCTCGTCCTCATGGGCGTTCTCGCCGTGCCTTTGGCCTTCTGGGGCAAAAATGTTCGTCAGTACATAAACGGCAAGTGGAGCCAGAACGAGAAGGGCGCGATCCGCCCGCAGTAAGGGGTCTCCGCACAGAGACGAAATAAAATGTTTGATTATCCGTTGCACGTTCATCGCAGGCATATGAATATCGAGACAGGATGAGGGACGCGACTCATGGAACACAGGACTGGAGTACCGGGAGACGGGGCAACGGCACAACCGCTTCTTGTTTCAAACGTGCCCTGCGAGACACAGGACAAATGCAGTCTGTCATACAATCAGACCACGCCAGTCGTTAATTCCCTTAATGTATCATTGAACATAGTAAAACACTTAAATTAAAATAGCATTGTATAGCTTTTGGAAGTCATTCGTGATCAAAATGAACATGCTGAAGTTTTTCGTCGCAGCTACTAAAGATCCCGAGAAGACTATCCAGATGGATGCAAGGCTGGAGAGAATGTTCGTACGCACGGTCTAAAGTCTGGCTACGTCACTACAGCCCATGTAGTGAACCAACTGCTCAACGTAATACGTACGACGTAGTCTTCCTCTTTCAGTTTGCTAGATCCAAAGAAATTAGTCGGCCTGTCTGGACACTTAAACACAGCCTTCCTCGAGTCACTCAGAGTAGCCAGTGATGCCTGTCTAGGGCGCTAATGAAGATTCGCCATGCTGGTAAAGTGGCTGGCGTATACTGCCCTGCTCCTCGGTGACGTTACTTCCCGTAACGCCCTAATCAGTTAATGAGGGCACTGTATGACTACGTGTTGCCGAGATGAAGAAGTGCATACAGTCAACGCTTGACCGAGGTATCTTCAATTAGACAGAACTGAATTGGAAGAGATAAACTTAAACCCTAACGTAGTGATGATTGTCAGGACAGAGTACCAACCGAGTCAGGTTGAAAACGCAAATTAACTGCAACAACGCCTCTGAGCCACCACACCGCGTAGTCACCGCTCAAGCATTTCCTCCCCAAGTGAGCCTGTCTGCTCTATATGCCTTCCATTGCTGCACGCACGTGGCAATATTCCATCCCACAACGATTGCGAGGAGCAGACTATTAGCTGTCAGTCTGATGCTAGTCCGTCAAAACGATGTAGAGTAGCACGGAATGCATACATGTTGCCAATTTGTAGACCGAAGACGATCATCCTCCACGGATCGGCCTCGAAATCGCTGTTTACAGCTCCGGCATGGAAGTTCTTGAGGTCACAGCAGCCACGAGTC